CCCGCCTCACCCCGCCCCACTCTTAGCTCACCCACGCCGCCCCGCTCATGCCACGGCTGTCCAGACCTTTGAAAGGCTTCCGTCAATTCTGATGTGTCTCAAACCGTAGACCCATAAAACCCTCTCAGGTCGCCAGAAATGCGCTTGGAACTTTTCACTTGTCTAAACTGCACAGTTTTGCTCTCGCTAACAAAGTAATTGTGCTGCGAATGTACTTGTATCAAAAAACAAGGTTTTTTGGAATCTGTATTTTTCGGTATTTTTTGAAAGTGCGATTTTGTCGAGAGGAGACAAGAGGATGAATCGAAAAAAAATGCTCGTCTGTCTCTTTTGGCGGACATGTTGAAGGACACTACACACATGCTTACCACCTCCTGGTCAGGCACGCCCTGGGGGCGCGGCGTGGCGTGGCGTGGTCCCCAGGGGCGAGTCGAGTTAAATAAAAAAGACGAGAAGCGAACAGAACGTGCTGTCGGGGTGCGCGGGGGAGGGCGCGGGCCGGCACCAAACGGACGAAAGATTACAGGAATTCTCTTCCTCTTGCCTCTCCCTGTCGTCGGCGCCGGGCCGGGCCGCCCCCATTGTCGCCCGCACGGACGTCTTCTCCATTTGAAGACATTGTTTGTCCCTAGTGTATCGCCCCGTCCCGTAGCCCTGGGGCTGTGTGCTGATGGACCCCCTGCTCAAATGACTACACTGCTTTTCCTCCCCGCGACGGCCTGTAGCCGCGGCCGCGATTGGTTTGCTCCGCGCCGGCCAGGCCGCTGCGACTGCTCTGTTGTCGCTTCATTATTTTGCTCACTCAGCCCGAATATTCCGTCCTTTTGGTGTGTCGTGGGGTACCGCCGCCGAAGTGAGAGGGAGAGGGAGAAGGAGAGAGAGAGGGCGAGCTCTGTGCGCGCCGCATTTACATCTAAATTCCGGGGGCTCCAGCCTGACACCGATACAGACAATCACAAGGCCGTGCGCCGTGAATTGCATTCGTCTCGCTGATTACCTCGGGGACTTTTGAACGAGGCGTGGCGTGGCGCGGCGCCGTCCCCGCTCTGCGTGCACAGGCAGGCCCAGCAGCGCCCCCGCTCTCAACCAGCTCCAAATCAAGTTAGACGGATGCCTCGCCCGCTCTGCTCACCTTTTTGGAAAAAAGGGGGGAGGGAGTCACGCTGACACGCCACTGATGCGTTGCTCCCAGCTCCCCCCCCCCTCCCCCACCCCCCTTTTCCCTCAAGGTACGCTGCTCCTCTGCAACGCACCGTTGTCATAAGCTCAGTATTGTTAATCACGCTGCGTTCTGATGTTTCTTTCAGTCTTGCCTTTTGTGTTTAAAGTTGCCATCATGCATCTTTAAAGGTACAATTTTGTAGACAATTTACTCATTCTGTTTTCAGGTAGCAAACCAATCATAGTTTACTGACGACACTTTCTTTATCTTTTACAGATTCTCCTTGCGGCTCCCTGGCTATATTTTCACAATGCCCCATCAACGCGGTGTTGGCTCAGAAGAGATTTCTTCTCAAGCAGGACACGTGGCTCCCGTAAAAAAGATGCATGCAAGAAGGGAGCTATTTGATTGCACTGTTTGCCTCAAGAAATTATCTTGCGGCAGTGCTCTGCAAAGACATCTCCAAACGCACACTGGAGAAAGGCCTTTTGAGTGTACAGTGTGCGAGAAGAAATTTTCGCGGAACGGAAATTTGCGTGATCATCTCCGAACGCATACAGGAGAAAAGCCTATTGAGTGTACAGTCTGCAACAAGAAATTTTTACATGATAGTCACTTGCGGGTTCATTTTCGTACGCACACGGGAGAAAGGCCTTTTGAGTGTACAGTGTGCAAGAAGAAATTTTCGAGAGGTGGGACTTTGCGTGATCATCTCCGAACGCATACTGGAGAAAATCCTTTTGAGTGTATAGTGTGCAAGAAGAAATTTTCGCAGAACGGAAGTTTGCGTGAACATCTCCGAACGCACACAGGAGAAAGGCCGTTTGTATGTAGAGTGTGCAAGAAATTTTTTTCGCACAGTTCGACTTTTCGTAGTCATCTCCGAACGCATACTGGAGAAAAGCCTTTTGAGTGCACAATCTGCAACAAGAAATTTTCGACAAGTACTGATTTGCGTGTTCATCTCCGTACGCACACTGGAGAAAAGCCTTTTCAGTGTACAGAGTGTTTCAAGAAATTTTCGCAAAGTGGGAATTTGCGTCTTCATCTCCGAACGCACACGGGAGAAAAGCCTTTCGAGTGCACTGTGTGCCATCAGACATTCTCATTTCGTCAACGTTTGCGTATTCATTCCAAAACCCACATGACTTAGCATTTATATGCATTGCATACTGCCAACATATTTTCGGCGGGTGTCTAGCTGTCTTAAAGTTCTTACAGGACGATGTCCTCTGTTGTGCGGGCCAGAGGCCAGAAGTGTGTTAAGTCAATTCGTTTGCGTCACTTTATTCATACAACAGTGAATGACATCATGCTTTCGTAGTAAGCATCTCTGACGTGCCCGCGTTGTCTAACTTCAAATAGCTCTGAACATTCTGTAAAAATGTCCTAAATTATTCTAAGTAATCTGGATGTACTTTCAAACGTGTGATATTGTTTCGTATTAAGCTTTTATATGGCATTTTTTTGTTTTAATTTTGTTTTGACCGGCATAGAGTTTGACATTAAAAATGCAGATCACCATTATGTTGGTGTTCCCCTTTGTTGGTGTATCTAGGCTGGCTTGGCCTCGGAGCAGTTTGCTGAGTGATTGCAAACCACTAAATTGCGGGCAAAAAAACTAAGTTTACATTGAATAAAACGAAAAATTAAAGATCGTCAATAATAAATACTGATAAACACCAAATTTGTTGCTATTTTTTAAAATGCTGTGTGCTTTTTACTCTTAACTATATCTTTGTACCATAAGAACGACTGCAATAAGGAAACAAAAATAAAGTTGATTACTAGTCACTACTCTCTTTTCTCCCTTGTAGGAGTATTGTTCCAGGTAAATTTTCGATTACAACCGTCGGTCTGTTTTCCAGTTATGTGTCATGAGGTTGCGCGGGCTTGCAGGCGCGGGCCGCGCTTCTACACCCGCCCCTGCCTTTCCAGCGCCTCCAGCCGCTCTAGCAGCCGCTCCAGCAGCCGCTCGGCGCCCCCGGCGGGGAGGCAGTCCCGGCGCACAAGCGCGTCACCGCGCGGCCCAGCTCCCGGGCGCCCGACGGTCGGCACCGGTCCGACCGGAGCCGACCGACTGCTGCAGCTGATTTAAGAACCGCGGCGCGGCGATGCAGTGTTGCGGTCGGAGAGGGGGGAGGGGGACCCCCAGGCCCAGAGGAGCGGGATTGCCAACACTGCTTCCTGAATTATTGAAGGCCATTCACACGGGTAATTGCTGTTAATGGGCTCGGGAGGGCTGCGGCAGTAGTGGCGGCGGGGCGGTGTGGCGTCGCCTCCCGCGCCTTTTTAAACGGCAGATAGATGCACGGGTGGGTAGACGCGGGCGCATAGATATGGAGGGTCTAGGACGCTGGTGCGGTGGTGCTATTTTGCATGGGATCCGCTGCTCTATGAATCGCACAAAGGCTTATTCCCAACAAAGGCTTTGAACTTTAATTATGCCAGAGAGGAGCCGGAGGAGCGCGCCTGGCGGAGGTCCCATGTGGCGGGGCGGGGTGCGGCGCCCCGCACATTCCTTATTGTGGAACATGTGTGTGGGCGGGGTGGGGCGGGGCGGGAACACCCCGAGCAGCAGAGCCCCCTGCACTAAATACGGACCGGTCTTAAAATTTATCGCAGTGCCGGTCAAACGGTCAAATCGTCGAGCCGCCGCCGGTGCGCGTGTGAGCCTGGCCGTGGCGGTCATCCTCCTCGGGGTGAAACACTACACGCTGTTGGTCCATGCGCCTTGCTGACGGGAGGCTGTGCGCTGGTCCCTCTCCCTCCCCTCTCCTCCGTCCCCTCCCTGATGTGCATGTGTGGCGGGCGCCATTGTTTCCGCACTATCTGTGTCGCCGCCGTCCGGAGTTATTGTCTGGCCGTGATTAACCCGCGCGCCGTGGAGGAGTCGTTAGAGAGCGCGGCGGCCTTTATCTGCAGAGCGAGGGGCGCAAGTGCGCACCACGCGCTCTCGAGCATCTTCACCCAAGAAGCGTTTCCTGTATAAAACGCTCGCAATAAAATGGCGGTTTTCCATCTCTTAATCCCCCAAACGTTCTCAGTGTGTTTAGAGTGTGGATAAAGGTAAAAGAAAGAGAGAAGTAAACGCTGTTTTAGAATTTCTTTTACTGTTAACAGCAGTTAATTGTTAAAACGATATAGAGATGGATTCCTGCTTCATTACTTTTTTCGAGGGCTTAGTTGGCGAACTTGAGCAGTGTACAACAAGCCCTTTGTCTCAACATATTAGTTTTCGTGGAAAATGCCCGCTTTACCAGGAAGCGGCGAGTATCTGCCGTCGCGGTGCATGAGCAGGTCGTGGGACTTCACGCGGTAATCAGCGCTGGCCGCAGAACAATACACCCGCCCCGCCCCGCCCCGGAGAGCGCCTTTGCAGACGCCAGCAGAACGCCTCCTCGCCTGGGCGGGCAGGGCAGAGCCACGCGACGCCGCCGTCGCCGCTGCTGCCGCGGTCCCCGAGGACGATACTGAATCTAGTCGCGTAAAATTGGGGTCCCTCCCGCGCGCCCTGCCGTGCCTCGCCGTGCCTCGCCGTGCCTCGCGCGCTCTCGCCTCCGCAGAGAAATGTCTCGGCCGCCCCCCGCGCTCCTGTCCACACGCGGGGCGGGGCGGGGCGTGGCGGGCAATAAGGCGGAAGCGTGGGTAGTTTCTGTGGAATTCCCTTTCCCCCCCTTCATAGTGTTTCCGGCCCCGCTGCGTGTCTCGGCCGCGCGGGCGCGCGTCTTACACTCCTAATTTGGGTCGTTTCAGCGGCCGGTGTCGCACTTTGTAATGTGTGGCTGCGGCGGCGGGCGCGGGGCAGGCCGCGCATCTCCCATTATAATGTAGTTTAGCCGCCATTGTGCCTCGCGGAGGCGCCCCCCGGCGGCGTGTCGCGCGCCGCCCATCATGTCTTACCCCTTTCTTGCCGCGCCCGCCGCCCCGCCCCGCCCCTCCAAGGCGCCCGCCCGCCGCGCCCGCACCGCCGCCTCAGCAGTATATAATTCGCACCCCGGACCACAAATCGGTCTCGGCTGTCTAAGCACGACATGTGTAATGTGGTACAGCAGGGTGGCCCGCGCGGACCGCGCGGACCGTTTTGTAGTGGTACTGTACTAGAGTGTCAACTCTGATGACTAAAAGGGTGTGGAACTGGCATGCACATTGTATTGTTTAACGTCGTGCCATGCACGCGTTGAGAACTAAGACTAAAATTTGCTCACTCAAAATTGCTCCAGTAAATTTGAACTCCTTAAAGTGGTCACCAATTTGAGTACTTTAAAGTGGCCTGTAGTAAATCTGCACACATTAATGTGTCCAAAGCTGCATGGTCAACCCTGCATCCGAAACATTATTTGGTAGTCTTCCACTTTACTCTTAACCTTAACCTCTTAACTCAGTATTCGTTCAAATTCGTGAGTATTTTCTCTGTCAATGTAGACCGCGTACAGGTGGTAGGGTCCGACTTTCGTCTCGGGCCATGGTATCCTAGGGATCGTCCTGAAAGTATGTCCATTTTCCTCAAATTCGTTTGGCACATTACGGAAACGGCGCCTGCGAACCTCGGGGTAGGCCACCCCGCCGTACATGCATGCGCTGAAGGCAAGATCTTGCCTACCCATCAGGCGCTACGGGGAGAGTCTGCATCGGCTGAACTGCTGAACTCGGTAGTTTCGTAATGGGGAGTAGCGAATGGCGCAGACGGACTTTCTAGATGATCACTTTCATGCCCCAAGAGAAAAATTGTTTCTTGACGCAAGCTCTAATGAAGCCTCATAAATTTTGCCCTTGAGTCGAGGCAATGCATGTTATCCGAATGAATATTGTACATGTTTGTCCCAAGCTGGTGAGTCGACGAGACGGTCGTGTGGTGGTGTTGGCTCTCCGTCCGGAATCACTGTGACGGGGAGCAGGGACGGGTATAGGAGATGACCGCTCGCAAAAGCAGTCCCCGTACGGCTACGGATCGGGGAAGCCTGTCACAATACACCGGACTTTTAAAAAAAAGTTGAAATTCTAAATCGGATTTTTTTTCTCATTTTCTTCTTTAAGCTGAAGCGTATACATGTACATACGCGCGCCGTGGAAGCCCACCGGACCTAGCCGAAATGAACGGGAAGGGTTTTTTCTTCCCCCGCCCGGCTTAACTCAAAGTAAGCCACTTGGCCACTCGGCCGGCCTTGATGCCCCCCTCGCCCTGGCCGCCCTGGCCTCGCTGCCCTCCTGCGGCAGCAGCAGCGGCACTGATGAGGGAAGACCCTCGCTACACGTTTTAATCTTTCACGTTATTGCGTGATCTCGCTCCTTTCGGTGGGGGACGCCGATGCCTTGTAGCGGACGCAACCTTTTACCACTCACTTGTAATTTTTTTAAAAATGTTTTTACGTTTCATGTGGAAGAAATTCGCACATGTAAATAAGTGACACGGTTGCTGCCGACTGCAGTGCATCGCCCCGAGAGACCTCTCTATCTCACGCTCTCGCTCAGGCCACCTGTCAACGTGAATAACAATACAACACAGTGCGGCTGCGGTGAAAATTTCAACAAGATTACGATCAAAAATCGGCCGCCTCTCGTCTATTTATTATTCCCCCCGATTGGAACACATAGTAAATTGTCGACCGCATCGGCCGGAGCCGCTCGCGCACCGACTGTTGCTGGTTTGATTTACTCGCCTAGTAATCCTCCCCCTCCGGGCGCCCACCTCCCCTCCTCTGTCCGCCACTGCCCCCCGCCCCTCCCCTCCTCGCCAACCCCATCGAACCCGTTAACCCTCTGGCCTTTCGCTCCGCGTCCGCAGGTCACATCCCCGTCCCGCCGCGCCGTGTTGCTGCTGCCCGGAATATTTTACGGCTTATTGCTGTTAATTAAGTTGTCACGCTCGTCAAGATCGGATGTCCAGGTCCGGTCGCCACGGCAACGGTCGGCAGCAGCAGCATCCCTCTGCTCCGTGTTGTGTTTCCGTCGGTTTCCGTCTCTTTTTACTCGGCGAAAAGTCTCCACTCCAGTCCGACGCTCCACTCCACCCCGGCCGTGTTCTGTCTGAATTAATACGCAACAGGGTCGGGATCACTCGGAATTAGCGCCACAAATCATCGCGGCCGCCGGGCGGAGCGGCCGACAGGGGAGCGCAACATCTCTCGCGAATGAGCAAGATTTCATTTCGGCGGCAACTTTTTGAAGCAGGCCCTCGGCACTCCTTCTGAACAAGAAAGAGGAAAGGAGAGTAGCTTGAGCCTGCTTTGGTGTGTCGCACCGTCTTTTTGCCTTAGTTGTTTTTATCATTTGTCCTCTGCCATTTATGGATAGTTTTCACCCCCATATTTTATTTGGTGCACGAAAGTGGAACTATACACGAGGGTATGTTGTATTAAATTGTATCTCTGCAGTCTTGATCCTGCCAATGGAATTTTTACGCGTGATGAATGATAGTGTAATATAGCTGTATACTCTCCATCTTTCATCCTTCTTTTGTGTATGAAATATATAAGTCCATCCACGATTTGCGATGTAGGGAATTTCAAGAGCAGGTTCCGCCCACCCAGGGCCGCTGTTTGCGCCGCAGCCTCGGCCTGCACCCGCCACCAATAATTTTCGTAATTTTCCCCGATATCATCATGCGCGGATCATAACTCCACTCAGCGGACAGGAGACGCGGTGGGAGAGAGGGGGAGGGGGGAGAGGGGAGAGG